GTGTGTGTGTGTGTGTGTGTGTGTGTGAACACAATACCGGTCCCAAATAAAAATGATCAAAAAAAAAAATATTATGCTCAAGCCATCAAGACTTAATAAGCCCAGAAAAGCTATAATCGAGACAGCTTAAGTCCGTTAGCCTCTCCGATTGAGATGTCAGTGTGCAAGTTAGGTTAGAGAACCACTTTCCTTGACCTTTATTCTGGCATTATTAAGGTTTAGCAACCCAAGAAAAGACATGACTGAGGCATATTGGACGAATGTGAGTAAAGTTAGAACCATTACTGAGCGGACAAGTTGACTCAACAGCTCTATTCTTCAATCCCTCATTAAAGCATAAATAAATCTTTCTCAACTTCCTGCCACCATTGCTCACTTTCAGCGTATTCCATAATCTATCAATTTCAATAGATTCTCTTATTTCGACTTTGCTTTCGTCTCATCAGCACTTCAAGCGGGACTTGAACCGTGATTGTACAGCGTATAATCTCGACATGTTAACCACAACGCCACACTGCCTCGAGTTCCTTTTTGGTCACAGGACAGATGTGAATTTCAGGGATGGCTATGCACATATCACATTCTGTGGCGAGATATGGAGAAAAAATTTAACTACCACTCTCCCACCACCTTAACGAAAATGGCGAACAGATCTTACATTCTTGATTCGGTGCTTGTCAACTTGTCAGTTTTACAAAAATGACTTCCAGCTCTGATGATGTGTGTTATTTGATGAATGCTCTGTGGACTGCATCAACCGGAAGCTCGTATTAAAGCCAAGAGACTTCAGTTCAACGGGAGTAGGCCGTCGTCTTTTGGTGAGGTCAACCATCAAATCTCTTCAATATCCACCTACACACCAAATGAGAAATTTGTCAACATTATTGTCTTATGAGATTCATCGAAATCTTATCACATTTAATTTTTCGAAACACATTTTTCGGCGAAATTCATATAAATAAATACATATATATATATATGTGTGTGTGTATGTGTGTGTATAGAGAGAGAGAGAGAGAAGTGTAGCGCCTCAAAAATATTTCAAGTTAGTCTCTATATCAAGTACCCTCGAGGTAAAGACGACAGTCGAGTCCAGTCTAGACTAAACGATACATCTTTTTTGGAAGACAAGACTAACCAAACTTGTTTAGCATTCTGAGGCTTATTCATTTAATTGTGTGGAATTACCTCTTAACCCACTTTAGGTAGCCTATGCTGACCAGGTATGAAGACCAAGATGGTTTGACCTTTTGTGTGGTCTCAGTCTCCTTCCGTCATTCAGAAGTTATCTGATATTGTTTTCGCGATTTGGTCATATTAGCAGGAAGACCCAGAGCAATGCACCTTGTCCGGACTGCATAGAATGTATGATCATTTCCAGAATGGGACCGTGGACGAGGTACATTCTCATACGTTGTGATAGGACGAGGGCGAGACAGGAGGGTAGTAAATGGATAGAAGGAGCAGTACAGAACGAGGAGGGATTACCCAACCATTTCGGCAGAAAGGGATTGGCTTTAATTGTCTCTGACGCGTTGTAGCTTGGTGCGGACGATGCCGGCGAAATGTCTGAGAATGTACCAAGTCCACGGTCCTAATCTGGAAATGATGATGCATTCAATTTGCCAATATGAGCAAATTGGGAGAACAAGATTAGACAACTTTTATGCCTGTTAAGTTGTTATGCGGGAAAATATTGCAGATTTTCGAAGATAATCATAAAGGTTGTGATCTCAGGAGTTTCACGTAATAGACAGTAGACTGGTGAAAAAAGAATGCGCTTCTTCAACGAAATGCCAAACTATCAAATGCTTTTGTTTTGCCCGCAATTCTTTTGGTGAGAATTCAGGATTCACACATTTTTTCCGATGAAGCCAAGCTTTTGAGCAATTACAGCCAAATTTTATTTCGAGATAAATATTCCGTCGACACCGACTCTAAAGGGTATTTTTTCTCAAACTTATATTGTTTGTGGGCGTGTTTTGAAAATGCCACTAATTCCTGGAAAAAAATCCAATGAGCTTAGATCGCGTATGATTATTTATTTTTTATTAAAGTAGAGTTTCGAGACTATTAGTATATCAGTAATATGATATTTCGTTCAAGGTGATGAAGGACTGGTAGCAAAATTTTCCCAAAATCTGATGAGTAGAGCTGCCGCTTCCATTCAATTTCACATTGCCTTAGTAAATCAGTAGTATGAGATGTATTCACCCAATTTTTTTCAAGGTGATAAAGGACTGGTAGTAGAATATTCCCAAAATGATGTGAGTAGAGCTGACGTTTTCATTCAATTTCAGATTACCTTGCTTTCCTAAAAGTTGTTTTCATTCAGGCTTTAGTGGACTGTAGTTTCGACCTCGCATCGGTCTTATCAACACCTCCAGCGGGAGTCGAACTATGAAATGGCAACGTGTGATCTCGCAGTCCAGCCTGGATGAGAACAACTTTTGGGAAAGCAAGGTAATGTGAAATTGAATGAAAACGTCAGATCTACTCACATCATTTTGGGAATATTCTTCTACCAGTCCTTCATAACCTTAAACGAAATAGGCTGAATACATCTCATATTACTGATGTACTGGTAGCCTCGAAACAATACTTAAAATGTGAAAAATAAAGTAACATAGTCGATTGTTATAGCAAAAATACGTTTCGTCATCGACAATCCCACCAAAGAATGGTATATGACAAAAGGCCTGGCCTTCCTTGAAATTCACACCAGCCGGGATGGGAACAAATTTTGGCAAAGCAATGCTCTGTGGAATTTAGTGGAAACGTCAGCTCAACTCATATAATTGTAGGAAAATTCTATTACCAGTCCTTCATCACTTCATATTATGATTATTTAAGCAGTTATTAGCAAGTGGCATTTAATTTCACCTGCTCTCTCTTCTCAAGTACATATCTCATCCAGCGTTGTCAGATGTGTTGAAAACTCTACCACAAGTCCTTAAATGACTTAAGACAACCTATCGTTACTAAGCTCTTATTTAAGAATCACCAATTCTATCGAAACCTACTCATCCCAGAAGTAAGTTGCTTCTTCGATCATAATCGTGAATACAAGATTTACGAAATGTGTTCACTCTACATCTCATATATCCAATCTACTGGTAGTCTCGTAAACCTACTCAAAACGAAACAAATAGAAAATTGTCTCATCGACACTCCCACAAAATATGATGTTATTTACACGAGGCCCGGCTGACCTTCGACCCGGTGAAAACCGATACCGATTGGCCAAAATAGCCTCGGGCTTGAGTTCCATCGGAGGGCGACATGCATACTCCTTCGTGGGACCGTTTCGCTCTCAGTCCATGTTGCATCTCGGCTGAAGTTATGATTCGGCAACTTCAACATTTGCTTTATCACTTGGTTTCTTGCTTCTCTCAAATCAGGCGTATGATCAACACACACTTCGCGGACGGAAAGACTGGCCCCGTGGAGTTCGATGAAAATGGCGATCGCAAGGATCCCTTGTATGATATCATGAACTGCCAGAGCCAATCTCCAATCAGTCTGGCGCAAAGACTGGATCCATTTGGCATATGCCGGCTCTCGAAGGTGGGCGAGTATGGACGTGAAGTGGTGAGTGGTTGTCTTCTGTTCTTCTTTCGAGTCGCGCTGATTTTTCTTTTTTCCCAGTCTTTTCACACTTGCACACTTTTAACCAGCCGCTAGAAAGGCCGCGTCCGATCTCGTCTGACCGAGACGTTCGAATGCTCGAGTCTCTGGCGACTCATGACTTTGTTGCGTTGTCAGTCGCAACGTTTCACATGCTGCTGAGTCTTACTTATCAGTTTTTACATTCATTAAGAGACTTATCGTCTTGCTTATGACATGACTTGCATTTCGAAGGAAAAGTTGATTGGAAGCAATTTGTGAAATGTTCTCATCTGAAACCGAGGCAGGATTGTCAACGCAGTCAAAACTCCAACATTGTGCCAATAAGTCTTCGGCTTACTGTCCAGCAACTCCGATGAACCTGTATACTCGATGAAATAGAGCAAAAATATACTAAACCAAGCGAAAAGGTGGCCGGCTGCAACTCTAGTCACTTTTTCGTGCATATAATCTCGTAGTCTTAATAAGGCATTCCAGTATTGGAAGGCATGAAGACGAAGAGGGTGTGGCTTTTTGTGTGGTCGCAGTCTCCTTTCGTTGTTTTAAAAAGTTGTTTAACCTTGTTTTCGCAACTCTGTCATGTTGGTAGGAAGAATTAGAGGAACTCACCTAGTCCGGAGTCCATTGTATGCATCATCATTTCCAGAGTAGGACCATGGGCGTGGTACATGCCCAGACGTTTCGCCAGCATCGTCAGTGAGTGTCACCGTTCGTAGCACCGTATGACAACTCGTCAAAGAGACTTGTCTCAACGATGCTCTAATGTTGGATCACATTCGAGCTTGTGTTGTTGTCTAATGTGTGTGTGTGTGTGTGCATTGTCCATGTCATAAAAAGTGTGGTAGTCACAGATAGACTCGAGGACAAATCGAGCATCCTTCGTTTTTTTATTGCGAAGCGAAGATGACATGACATGACATGATATGAGATGAGATGAGATGTCGTAAGATGAATTTTCATAAAAAGAGATGAGATGAGATAAGATGAGAAGTG